GAACAGCTTTTACTTTTCTTTTAAAATGACCGTATAGGGCATAAACTTTGTTGTGATGCCGTGTTGCTACTTTGCCTGAGGTGCCTTTGTCCTCTAGCATAGCTCCTCATGTAGAATATCAGCAAAATACTGGGAGGACAAGAACAGAGTCTGCATAAATTGCTTATATTGCAAGATCACACCAGCAGCACTATCATTACTGCTAGTAATTTGATTCTAGCCCATCCTTTGACACATGTAACTCGAAGAAACTAAGTACCCATTAGGATGGAAGTTCCTAAACGTGCTATCATCCTGAAACTTCATAGTATTTAAAAATACCTGGTAAAAATGGAAATTGCACACTCAGTTAAATGTTGTTTTTCATCAGTGCATCAGCCTCAGATTGATTTAATTCTTGATGAAAAGTTGATGCTCAAGAACGATGAGCCAAATTCTGGCCTTGGCAAGATCCCAGTTCTCCAATGGGCTGAGCATCATCTGAGCAGCACTCAGCAGCTCAAGCCCTGTCTGAGTCACTTGTACCTCTTTATTAGCAATCCCCAGGAATCTGCCCCAAAGCAAATGCGGTATTTCTGGCGGTGCCCTTGGGCTTTGGTGGATTTGTACTGGTATCACTGAGTGGATGGGAACAGGGATGTGACCCCTTTTGGTTCCAGCCAGCGATGAGCTCCATTTCAGATGTCAGGAAAAACCAAACCTCCCCTGTGCCAGGATTACTGAAAGACCTGGGCAACCTGCAAATCCCACTGCGACCCTCAGAATAGTGCTTTAAAGGAACTATGGGGCGAGCTGCTGTGGTGGCTCCTGAGAGACCTGATCTTTGCCCCAGGTACATGCTGTACCTGATCCCACAGTATGGAACTCCATTGCCACTTTGCTTCAAACTCATCTTAAAGGTCAAGCATGATACAGAGGCACAGTCCCCTCCCTCCCCAGTTTGCAGTAGCTGCCCTTTGCTACTGCACATGTCCCACTTAGCCAACATCCTCCCTATTTCTCATTCCCCCCCCAGGCTGAAAGTGCATAGCAAGGACAAGGTCCCTGCCTTTGCTCACTCAATACCCACAGACCAAATAAGGTGGGAGAGGATGCTGGATGCAGGTAAACAGAAAGAAAATTTGTCATTGGGGCTTGTTTTTCTTTACCTGTTTTAATTAGTTTGGAGGGACATTTTGTGTGTTTGGAGAATCTTATTTTTTCTTTTTTTTTTCCCTATCATCAAGCAGGGAAGTTGCATACAAAACCAGACAACCTCACAACTACGATCTTCCAAGGAAAACATTGGCAGGGATTGTAACACACAGTTCCCTCTCAATACTCAAAATAAGGTTCAGTGTCCTTCTTCACTTGCTGAAGACAGAGTTAAAAAATGAAACCTTAGTAAAGTCTGACAGGCTCTCTGATATACAGTGTCATCTTTAAAACATCCTGCTCTCTTTTCTTGGTTGTAGCTGGCCGAACACCAGAAGCTCTGCTCAGCCCTTCTCACCTGTTGCATCTCTCAGACCCCTCCTCCCTTTTCAGCCTTGCTCCAAGGAGTGGATCATTACCCTTTTCCCTGTGGATACTCTATCACAAGCTATTTTTATTCTCTCTCTCTGCAATTCCCTAACTTCCCCATGCCAAATACTCACTAAAAGTCATCAACCTTCAGCAAGGCCAACAAATGAATCAAATGTGCTGCCAGGTCATTTAGGAGATGAGCCAATGTAGAGTTAGGAACATTTTTTAAAAGTCCCCAGCAAGGGAATATTTTAAATGCCATAGCTTTAAAAAGTCATATCCAAACTTCCCAGAATAATTCCATTCTGAGTAACTAGCTGCAGATGAAGTTCCAGAGGAGTGGCTTCCTTCGGGAACATTAGGGCTTATAATAAACTATTTTTCTCTGCTTCACGGAACAGTCCACCCACCCATTCTTCCACCTACAAGTGTAACACTATATACAAACGTATAAGGCCTCAAAGGAGGAGAATCATTCAGAATACCCTGTCCTTGGTGCTTTGCTGAATGATTTACACCGCAATTTACAAAACATTACACCGCAATGAACAAAATGTTGTAGTTAAATTATCACTGTGTACCTTGCTTTTAATTCTCTCCAACTGCGTATCATTTTTTCTCCTTCCTACATTTTCACTTCCCATCAAGCTACAGGATGGAGTAACTGGGCACTGGTAAACCACCACTGCAAGCTCCCTCTCCCCTCCGAAGCAGATGCCTAGCAAAGATAGGTGATAGGATCTCTGTACAGAAATCTCTTACCTATCTCTCTGTGGAGGTACGGGTCTGCTCTGAGCACAGTTAGTACAGATAATCTAATGGCTTTTCTCCATCTAGCTCTTCCCTTGGTGTTGTCACTGGTGGATCTATAGGCAGGGAGAACGAGATGCTGGGAGTTTTTCAAACACACGGCTGTCTTGAAGTGAGGTATATTTTGGAGGGGCACAGAAACCAGGGACGGCACAGCCAGCAAACCAAGCCTCGCTTTAAAACTAAGGGTGTAAAATGCCATCCTGTGAGACCTAAAGCATAGCAGCCAGGGAGATCTCACCCCTTCCAGCCTCGTGTGGCAGTCCTGTCTCTCAGCACAGCCTGGCTTCTGCCTCTCCTCTGAAGGAAGGACTGAAACATCCCAGAAATCTGGGGCTGTTCCCAGAGAAAGGGAGAGGAGACAACTGCCCTTCTTAGGAAACGTGAAAAGCATCTAGCTGGCCGGATCTGCTTAAAGAGCTTAGGGAGGCAGCTGAGGGAGGTGAAGCCTGTGCACTGGCCACGGTCACTTGTGACAGAAACACAGCCTGCCAGGAACACGGCACCGCTCGGGGCAAGCACTTACACGGCCGGATGACGTGCCGCTCCTGCAAACGGTGTCACTTGGCACACATCTGGCTAACACAGCTGGATCACCTCGCTCAGGTGTTTTATTTTAGTGCCTGACATAACACCGGCAAGCCACACGCCCCGCACACAATCACTGGAACCACTCTCCCATGCAGCCCTTTTGAGCTTGCTGACAAACGCTTCACACGCAGCACATGCAGGCACCATCTCCACCACCCGCTCAGCCCTCTCTGCTGCAGGTGTTTTATTTTAGTGCCTGACATAACACTGGCGAGCCACACGCTCCACACACAATCACTGGAACCACTCTCCCATGCAGCCCTTTTGAGCTTGCTGACAAACGCTTCACACGCAGCACATGCAGGCACCATCTCCACCACCCGCTCAGCCCTCTCTGCTGCAAATGCAGCTTTAGCACACGGCGTCTAGATAAACTCAAAAGCTCCAAGGTTAAGTGGGAAATAGAAATCCGGTGACCCCTGTCTGGGCAAGTGAGCTTAATGACTTGTCTGTTGCTGTATGTACCAAACACATGCTGGCAAACATCTGCCTTGAGCAGCCCCTCCAAAATAAATGATTGATGGAAATGATTTGCCTTTAAAAACGCGATAAGTCAGCTGGGAGTCCTGCTAGAAAAGGGTTAACGGGATATATGAATTGCTAGTGAGTGGTAGGGAGAGGAGAGAAGCTGGGAGTCAGAGGCAACACCCCTTGTTAGGTGTTTACCACGTCGCATCTAAACCCCTTCCATCGCATATGCAAGGCAGATGAATTACTCTGTAAATCCTATTACTCCGTGTGGATAAATCTTACATGCGAGTTAACAAGTCTGGAGAGCTGGGGAATGGAAGCTGCTGAACGGGTATTCCAGAATCAAAACAACCCAGCACACGGGAGCTGAGAGAAGCGATACGTGTGTACACACACACACACACACACACGTCCCTCTTCTAGCATCCTTCTTCCCTGATCCCATCTTGCTAGCTCACATACCCCTCTATCATTAAATGGGAGGGATGCAGGACACAGGGGATCATGTAGCCAACCATTTGGTGACATCTAGCAGGATTTATTTCAGAGAAAGAGAAAGAAAACTTTGCTGCTGCTGTTAGCTTTGGTAGGGAATTGCTCCCTTGACACTTCGGGGTTTGTGCACTATCAGCTCCTCATACAGATTACAGACTTATTTTAAATTACGTCCAGTAGTTTTATAGCCATAACACACAGTGTGTGCACATACTCACACGCACAGAATTTTCCTTCCGTAGGGAAGTTACTGCAGGTTAGTTGAGTAAGGCAGTATTTGAAAAAGAAACCCACAAGAAAAAGATGACAGCATTTCAGCTATTTGGGACGCTCTATTTGGGAAAGCCCAAGTAGCCTCAGAACTACCCTTAGCAAACCTGCACGATGATTACAGAGCTACAACACTCATTGCTGCCAGTGAACAAGGCTTCATGTGCAAAGACACCTTCCTCACAACCACTTCAGACACGCAGGCACTGCATACACCCATTTACTTAGCCTTGCAAAAAAACCAACACAGTGAACGAGATACAAGCTTCATACATGTCAAAGCTCTTATACCATTTTTTCACCAGCCTTTTCAACTACTGTATCCATCTCCCCTCCTTACACAGCAGAAAAATAAATAAATAAAATTAAAAGCCAGAGTTTCCCAAAAGAACTTGCCTGAGAGTTCTGGCAGCACCAGGGATAAAGTTTTTGCATAGGTACAAAAAGAAGTATGGGAAGATCAATGGAACATCTGGCAAGCGCAGCTGGATCCCTTTTCGATTTCTCTATTGATACTGCAGGGCTGGTGGAAAATGTACATTCAACGAGTGCTGGCTAACACAAACAGACCTCTCCCCACTGAAATTCTTTTGATCCAGAGCACTACACAGAGGAGAGTGGTGGCAAGAGGCTTTCAAAAGCTCTGCTTTTTTTTTTTTTTTTATATATTAAAGCACAAACACACACGCAGAGCTTGTTTGTAGCAGCTGCTGCTGCTGCAGTTCAAGAGGTAAAATAACACACGCTCACGGAGACATACACACACACACAAATCTATATCGCATCACATGTATATGTTGCATCCACAGAAGCACGGATACAGACAGAGAAAAGGAAAAGTTGGCAAAATGCCCTACCTGAGGATGGCTGTGTCCCCCTGCCTCACGGTGATGTTATCGGTACCTCGGGTAAAATCCACGCTGCGGACTGGCAGCCCTGTGGGGAGAAGGCAAAGCAATCTCAGTAGGACCAGCGGTAATTGTTTCCGATCAGGCTGAGCCCTTGCTACCATGGCTGGTCTCGGCGAGTTTCACTGACTGGACTTGGCTCTCTCTCTCTCTCTCTCTCTCTGCGTGTGGATGTGGATAGATAGACGTAGAAAGAAAAACAGTAATAATAACGTATAACTCTCGCTCTGATCGACAGCCCCAGAAAAGGGGAGGTGATTTCACAGTCCTTCTTAGCTGCCACTTTCTCTTGCTCTTTTCAGTCTCTTGCTGGCTTCTTTCCCCCCCCTCTTGTCTTTCTTTTGAGGCGTTGTTTTTTTTTTGGGGCTTTCAAAAAAAAAAAAAAAAAAGTCTTAGTACAACCTTCAATTAAAAAAGAAAAAAGGCAAGAGGAAAAAGTCAGGTAGCAAAATAATTAAAAAAACAATAACAATTAAATCGACCCGTTTGGAGTGATGGAGGAAAATGGGGGGGGGGGGGGGGAAAAAAAAAAAAAAAAAAAAAAAAAAAAAAAACAAGGGGA